CCACTGCCCTATACAGGACCACTCTCATGCATCCTACCTGATGGACAAGATTTGCCTATGCTGATATCATTAAAACATGTATCTTATTGCCTTGAAGGTTATTTTCTTGTACAGTCCTTGTGGCCTGGATGCATCCCTTGGCTTCAGCTGCTGTGTGATGATTGCTATGAACTCCCTACCTGTTCAGATACTGACTGCCTGTGGACTGGGCGAGCTGTGGGCTTAATCTGCATAGGGCTTTGAACCTAGCTGAATCCTCCGTCTTGAGGATTATCATGACTTTATGTTATTAGTCTGGTTATAGTGCCCCAGTTTTCTCACACAGGGGCCATTGTGGAAGATGGGAAACATGTAGATTGTGAGGCGAGATTTCTGAAGGGGTGGGCTGTGGGTAAAATTGCAATATTTTCAGAATCTCTCACCTGACTTTAGTGCATCTGCATATCAATAGGTGTTTCCAAGGGGTGTAGAGAGGTAGTCCACCTCCATATCAATAGGTAATTACATGGGTGAGCGAGGGTTTATCTACACTGGAGAGGTTGTGCGGAGCTCTCTTCTACTGCAGTCTGGTCAAGAGAGATGCAGGATCACTACTTGTAAGAAATAAATGGGTTTCTTAAACTTTGTTTCTCCCTTTGACTTATTTTGGTTTCAAAGGTATTTGCCCCCGGATTTCCCCCCTGGAGTTACAATAATACTATGTTTTGTATATGTACCACATTTTCTTTATCCATTCATCTATTGGTGAACACTTAGGTTGCTTCCATATCTTAGCTATTGTGAATAATGTGGGTGCATATATCTGTTTGAATCAGGGACTTTGTTTTCTTCAGGTAAATTCCTAGAAATGGAATTACTGGATCATAATGGTATTTCTATTTTTAGTTGTTTGAGGAACCCTCATATGCTTTTGACAGTGTGGCTGCACCAATTTACATTCCCACCAACAGTGTAGGAGGGTTCCCTTTACTCCACATCCTCACCAACACCTGTTATTTCTTGTCTTGTGGAAGTGACCGTTGTGATGTGAGGTGCTATCTCTTTGCGGTTTTGATTTATATTTCCTTGATGATTAGTGATATGGAGCATCTTTTCATGTGCCTGTTGGCCATCTGAATTTCTTCTTTAGAAAAATGTCTGTTCAAGTTCTTCACCCATTTATTAATCAAGATGTAACTCTGGGGAGAAAATCCCAGGGCAAAATACCTTTGACACCGAAATCAGTCAAAGAGAGAAGTAAAGTTTAAGAAAACCGTTTGTTTCTTACAAGCAGTCACCCTGTCTCTCTCCAGACCCAGCTGCAGCAGCAGAGAACTCCACCCAACCTCTCTGGTCCAGATAAGCCCTTGCTCGCTCATGTGATTTCCTGTTGGTATGGAGATAGACTGCTTCTCCACGCCTATTAATATGGAGATTTACTAGAGCCAGGGGAGAGATTCTGGAAATATTTCGATTTTACTCACACAGGGTATTTGTTTTCTTGGTGGCGAGGTGTATGAGCTCTTTATATAGTTTGGATGTTAACTCCTTGCCAAATAAATCATTCACGAAGTTATTCTCCCATACTATAGGTTGCCTTTTTTGTTCTGTTGGTGATGTCCTTTGCTGTACAGAAGCTTTTTAGTTTGATATAGTCCCACTTGTTAATTTTTTATTGCCATTTTATTAATTGGCTTCTGGTTGTTTTTGTAGTTCTTCTCTGATCCTTTCTTCCTCTCTTACACTCTTCTCCCATTATTTGATGGTTTTCTTTAGTGTTCTGATTGGATTTCTTTAATTTTTTGTGTGTCTATTACAGGCTTTAGACTTGTGGTTACCGTAAGTCATAGATAGGTTCCTAAATATATTACAGTCTACAGTCATTCATACATATTTCAAACCGTGTAAAAAAGTACTTGTTCTTAATTCGCTTTCCTTCTCCACGGTAATGTATTAGATGTGTGACTCCGGAAGGTAGGGGGGGATCTTTCTCCCAGCCTGGGGCAAATTACCTTTGAAACTGATATCAAAGGGAGGAACCCGTTTATTGCCTACAAGTAGTTGTCCACCACTGGTCGCCCATGTCTGTCACCACCCAGCTGCAAAAAAGGGACCCCACCAAACTTCTCCAGTCCAGTTATACTCTTGCCACCCCAGCCTTGTAATCACCTACTGATATGGAGATGGATTGCTTCTCTCCACCCTTGGACACACTTATTGATCTGAAGATGCATTAGGCCAGGGGAGAGATTCTGGAAATAATGAAATTTTACCCACACATGTCATAGTATGCACTTTTTGTACCCCTTGATTGATTTTGTATACAGTTGATTTTACTACTTTTGTTCTTAACTTCATACTCGCTTTATAAGTAATTGGTCTTCTAATTTTACTGTGGGTTTATTTTCACTGATGATAAATATCTAGGCTTAACATTTCCATCTACAGAAGTCCCTATAACATATGCTGTAATTCCGGTTTAGTGTCAGTGAATTCTTTTAACTTCTGTTTGTCAGGTAAACTTTTACTCTCTCCTTCAATTCTGAATGATAACCTTGCTGGGTAGAGGATTTATGGTTGAAGTTCCTTCTGTATCAGTACATTAAATATTTCATGCTACTCCCTTCTGACCTGTAAAGTTTCTGGTGAGAAATGTGGTGATAGCCTTACGGGATTACCCTTATAACTAAATTTCTGACACTGGCTACTTTCAGTACCCTCTCTTTATCCTTAATCTGTCATTTTATCGATCATATGTCTAGGTGTTGTCTTCCTGGGTTCCTTTTGCTGGGGTTGGTCTGTACTTCCAGGACTCGATGTCTTTTTCCTTCCCCATATTGGGATGTTTTCAACAATTACTTATTCAAAGAGACTTTCTATCCCTTTGTCTTGCTCTTTTCCTTCCAGGTCCCCTATTCTGTGAATACTGTCCTGTTTGGAGTTGTCACACTGCTTTCCTGGCATTCTCTCATTTGGAGAGATTCCTTTTGCTCCCTTCCTCAGCTTCACTGTGTTCCTGTTCTCTAACTTGCATCTCACTGACTATCTCCTCTACTTGCAGCAATCTCCATTGTATTTTTCCTTTCTGATACTGTATTCTTCATCTCTGAGTGGCTTCTTTTCAGATCTTCTCTTTGTTGAAGTTCTCTGAGATCATCAATTCTTTTCGACAGGTCAGTGGGCATATTTATGACTCTTACTTTGAAATTTTTATCAAGAAGATAGGATATCTCCCTTCCCTTTAGTCCTCTTTCAGGTGTCTTGTTCTGTTTTTTTTGTTTGGAATGTATTCCTCTGCCTCCTCGTCTTGTCTGAGGTCCTGTATTTCTTCCTTTGTGTTAGATGGATCCACTGTGCCTTGTGGTCTAGTGAGTAATGGCTTTATGAGGACTGCATCCTGTGGTGCCCTGAAGCTAAAGACTCTTTGTTCCCCAGTGGCTGTTTCTCCTTTGCAGTGGATCCACTGTTGCTGTTGCCGGGCTGTGGACGGAGCCGTCTTTCTGCCTGTCTGCTGGCAGGGGCTCATCTCCATCGGCAGAGGCCCTTTGTGGCCGTGCAGTGGTGCTTCTGCAGGATAGTTCTTGGTGGGTGCCCTCTTCCTGCTTTGCAGAGCTGGTGGGCACACAGGGTATCACTGGGAGGGCCTGGGCCTCTAGCGAGGGGGAAGGGGTGTCTGGGGCTGTTTCCCACAGGCGCCTCCCCATTCGGGCTGAGAGAGGACCGGGAATGCTGGCAAAGCCTCCCTCTACTTGCCAGACAGCAAAGTCTGACTGCTGCTGAGGGGAGTGGGCTGGGCGTGGAGGCAGGGGTGTGGACAGGTGGGTCTTCAGGGAAGTGCCTTGGGGTTGAGCCACCAGCTACCTGTCCTTTCTCATCCCAAGAGAGCTCCTTCCAATCCCCACCCCCTGGCACCCCTGCCACTGCTGATAAGTCTTCAAACTGTCACCTCTGTGTTGGGTCTCAGCAGGACCGCTGGTGCATGCCTGCTTCTCCGCAAGTGGCAGGAGTCTCAGCCTCCCAGGGTGCTCCGGTTCTCCCTGGTACCCAGCCTTGCTAATCAGCAGAGCCCAATGCACCGTGGACTCTTATTCCCAGAGCAGGCCTCCAGGGCAGGTGGGCAGGGTTCTGAGCACATATCCCTTTCCTGCTCTATTCCTCTCCCTTCCACTGTGGGCTGGGATGGGGGAATGGCCTGGATCCTGCCCCACTGTGGCCCTGCCACTTTACCCTTCTCTGTGTGGTGCTCTCTCCTCCCCAGGTGCCGACGGTCTGTTCTGCTTCCTCATTCGTTTTCAGGGTCAGTTGTTCTGCTGTAGTTGCTTGTTTGGTGTGTATGTGGGAAGAGGTTTCCGCCTTGCCTTCCTACTTCACCACCTTTCCTCAAAAATGTCTTGTTAATTGCTGCATTCCCAGTACCTGGCACATAGATGTATTGAGCAAGTTGATGAATGTACGAACCATGCTGACGTCAAGAGATGCAAAGATGAGTAAGCTGATGTGTAATGCTGCCTTGTTTAATTGTCTTGCCAAAAATATTTTGAAGAACAAGTGCATCAAGTATGACAGACCAGCATTAGATTAGGAAATGTGTTAGTTTAAGAAGCTAAAATTGGTGGGAGGAAATTGGGGGCATTAAGAAATGGAATGGCTGGCTGAGCGAGAAGAATGGCTTCAGGAGCAGCCCCGAGAAAGTCCAGGATGGGGTGTAGGAAGGAAGCATGTGGGCAGAGAAGAGAGGACTCAGAATTATTAGTAATGGAAAAAAGTACACTTTTAAAAATTCTTTATTACCATTAAAATTAAAAATACATGTTACTGTAACATGAAAAGTACTCTCTGGCCTGACCTAAGTGTATATAGATCGGTTTTCGTCATGATCAGTTTACTGCTGTTTTGTGGGGGACAGTGACTTTAAGGCCCTTCTTGGAAAGGAATAGAGAAACCTGGCTATTCTTGTTTTTCTCACCACATGGTTTTCATCAATGACAAATAACTTTTGTGTGTTTATTTTTAATTGCCAGAGAGCCGAAAGCAGGAGGTATGCCCATGGATATCTCTGTGATGCCGTCCTCACTGCAGGTGAAAACCCCTGAGGGCTGCACAGAGACCCGGCTTCCAGCAGAGGTCAGGCTTGCCCCTTCTACCTGCCGGGGGCTGCGCTATGTGGCTGGGGATGGGCTGCACCTCAGGCTGCAGGCTCAGGCAGGACTCTGCGCAGGTGAGTACTGCTGCCACTCCTGTTTCTGCAGTTACTTTTTCATTATAAATCAGAGGTGGTTTTCCCTTTGAAAAGTTGAAGTTTTCCAGGTGAAAATAACTGCTTGTCAGTGGCATGTTAAGAGCTGGGGGTAAGATTTAGGTTGTCAGCTCTGCCAGTTATTAGCTGTGTGCAGCTGAACATGTCATTTAACCTGTCTGAAACTTTGTTTCTTTTGGAGTTTTTTTAGTGTTTTTTCCCCTTAATGCACTTTATTTTTTTGAGCAGTTTTAGGTTCACAGCAACAATGAGCAGAAGATACAGAGGTTTTCAATATACCCCCTGCTTTGTTTCTTTAATTGCTAAATTACCTGGCTCACAGAGTTGATGTGAAGATCAGATCAGATAGCAATTATGCAAGAACTTACTGATTTTAAAGCCTTACCTAGCCATTCATTCAACAGGTATTACCTTGTACTATGTGCCCAGCGTTGATCAAGGCACTAGGTATACAGACATGAACAAGCTAAGAAGGTCTCTGGCCTTATGGAGCTTACATTCCAATGGCTAGGGACAGATAATGAACAAGTAAGTTACTTGGGTACAGAGAAAAGTGTGATGGGCAAAGTAAAACAGAATAATGGGGTGGGGAGTGACCAGGGTCGGGTGAAGTGTGATCAGGGAAGGCCACTCTAGGGAGGTGATATCAGAGAACTGAGTGATGGAAATGATCCCATCCATAAGAGACATTTCCAAATAGATCAGTGTAAATAAAGACTCTGAAAATGAGTCTGATGCATAGCTTGATTGTGATTGTTGCTATGCCTGTTATGTTTCCAATATTTTGTTATTGGCACACTGATTCAGTAAGATGATAGGAATGTTTCTCAGAATAGTTTATTGAATAAAATTACTGGTTCATTACATCTATTACCATTTAAATTATGTGCTGGAGGATTAAAATGATGTAAAAAAGGGAACAGGTTATACGAGACTGATGGGATGTTCATTATCAGAGAAGGATTATAATTCTTCCAGCTGCACGGTGAGAGTGCCCTGCTGTGTCATCTGCACCAGGCCTTTCATCTGAGCTGCACGGAGCCTGGAGGTGGGGTCAGGATTGTTCTGAGGAGCCTTTTATGAGGGTGGAGCATTCCTCTGAGTCTATCCTGGCTTTTGAAAGGAAAGAGAAGATACAGGGAGTTTTGCTCCTTTTTTGTGGGAGAGTAATTTTTGCTCAGGTCCTGAATTAGTGAATAATTACTTTGAATTGGGCAAAGTTGGTTCAGGGGCAAGGGGTAAGGAAAAGAAATGTGGAGCTTGAATAACACAGGATAAACAGAAAGAGCCTGTTGGGATGACTATGGAAAGAAAAACGAGGTCACCAAGATAGGAGATAGACTAACTCCTTGAGTGTACATAATAATGGGCAAAGGAGGGGCTTGGGGTGGAAACCCTGGGAGTCTGGCTCTCGTGAAGTCATCACCATCTCTTTAGCAGTGGTGAACAGCAGTAACCACAGCAGGAATTTTGTGTTGTATCTGAAAATGGGAAAGACAGGCATGAAGTGGGGTGTTTTCAGATCTTCTGCTAGTTTTTTGGAACTATGATTTTAGGCCTCATACTGAAGACATATGGGGACCTTCCAGAGACAGAATTGGTATGCCACCTACCCATCTTCCGTAACAGTTAATATACAAATAACAAAACTCAAGGTATTTAAAAAAATCAGTGAACATATTATTTTGTTGTAACTAAAGGACAAAATAAATTGCTGTGTATTGGTTTGCATATTGTTTGCATTCATTGGTCTCCTGTTTCTTACATTTTTAAAACATTTTACTGAAATATCTGGTAAGGAAAACTTTCAAAGGCCTGTTCTGTAGTGCATGACAGGGTATGCAAAACAGATTCCTCAGTACTTAATTACTTCAGTGCTTTCCACATAACAGGTGGTGAATTAATATGTGCTGAATAGAGGTAGATGCATACTGATGTGAACTTGAATCTAAATGTATTATAGCAAGTGATTTTGAGAAAAGTAAATTTGAGAAGTAATTTTGAAATTTGTAGCATTCATTTGTTCTCAAGTTTTTAAAAAGTTTATATTTCAACTATAAGAACATTTTTTAAAGGACTATAGTAAGCATATTGTTAATACTGTTTGCAGTGTAAGATAGGTCAGATCACGACCCTTGACATGGAGGAGCTACAGTTAATTAAGTCTGAGTCAGCACAAGTGTTGGATTCCTCCCCAGGTGGCAGTGCTCCCCTAGGCTGTAGCTGTATCAAAACAGTTCTGACTTGAACCTGAACCCATTGGTTGTGTGGGTGACCAGCAGGGGGTAGTGTTTCACTGAAAATGTGTTTATTGGTTCTGAAAAGAATGTTTTGGATGACTTATTCAGGTCTACCAGTTATATGCTCGAAGTTAAAGAATACTGTTTACCTCACCATAGTGCTGTAAAGATTGGTGGGCACCCCTAGAAATTAAGTGGTTGAATTTTTAATGGCAAAGGCTTCAACTTTCTAGCATCAGTTTTTTAAATCTTAAAATATGTACAGAGTAACATAAACCACATTCAAATTGCTTGATTCTATTGGATAAGGACTCATTTCCTCAGTTTTTTAAAAATAGAGACATGTTTTTGAGGATTGTTTTTTGTTTGTTTTTGTTTTTATGGAAATGAAACTTTCCTTTCTTCAAGAATAAAATAATGGAAGCTATACACAATATCTTATTGTTGCACTTGACATCATACAGGAAATATACATTTTTCCACAGCTTTAATCAGAAATTGAGTTTTGCTCTTGGAAGATCCAGTTCTTCTTCGGAGCCTTTCCTTTCCCAGGGACTCGTCCAGTAAAGAACAGCTTCAAGAATCATTTTGTTCGTATGTACTGGTAATATGCCAGAGTAGACATAAACCTTGTTTAAATCAAATTAAACTTAAATTTTAAGTGCTCTGCTTACCAGGAGTCACAGTGATGAAAACCTGTATATAAGACATTGCAGAGGAAGACCGAGGATGGTAAAGTTCTTGTGCACAAGAAATAGCTCCTGTTTTTTCTCTTCCTTAATGTTGGTATTTATGGATCGAGATAACTCTGCTATGTTACATGGATAATCTTGGGCAATATGTAGCTGTAAAACAGAGCAAAATCTGTTGTTTTTGAAAACACTTCACTCTTTGCTCCTGATAGAGTCATCAGATAATACTAATTAAATGTGTACTTCTGGGTAGATCATAAACAGTATTTTTGGATGGTAATTTATTGTGGCTATTAAACTCTTTAAGTGCGTTAATATATTTGACCCAAACCTCTGAGTTGCTATTTCATTGATTTCCTTTAGAACTGATTTCAGTGTTTAATTGAAGTTTACAATCCCAAGAATGCTGCACATTTTATTGTCAGTCCTGTGGAGAAGTCGTAATAAGAGACAGGTAAGGAATGTGTTTAATGCTGATCAATTTGTGCCTGGCAATGGTTTTCTCTATTTCTATCAAAATTTTTGAAGTAATTGCCAAGGGAGCAGTATATGGCCTTAAAATGAGAGCCAGGTTAATGTCACTTTGAACAAAACGAATGACAGACTGTCCAGCAGTCACAGAGCAGGTAGATCTCCTCAAGGGGTGGAAGGGGCACAGCGGGGGGCTGGCCTGGGGGGCTTGTCTGGGGGAGGAGCCGGAGCTGCCCCCGAAGCACCTCTCTTCGGTGGGGACATGTGATCTATTTTATGTTTTATCCATCATGCTGGTGAAGGTTTTCCACATTAAGTGAATTTTCTAAATAACGGAAATCTTTTTAGCACAGTGTTTTATTTGAGCATTTCAGTTAGTGTCTTTCTGAAATCTGTTTCCTATTTCCCTGCTTAGTAAAACAGAGCATATAAAGGGAGGATCAACCTTTTCTTGATGATCAGGTTAATCTTGTAACCCGTTCTTAGTGATGTGCTGCGATCACCGTGCTGCGATCACCCGATTAGATGGAAAGGTCTCTTTGTTGTATTCTTTGAATTCCCGAGTTGTCTCTTTGATTTCACTTTTTCCCTCTTCTCCCTTCCTCCTGTCAGCTTCCCTGTTTCCTAGACACAGACCTCTGTCAGCTTCTAATCACACTCACGGGCTGGGAGACCGATGAAAACCTTATCATTGTCAACAACATTCAAAGAAAAAATTCAGCACTCTTCGTCAGATGCCTTACCTGGGAGGCCAGAGCCTGGGCACCTGAGGGTGGACCCTCCTGCAGACGGAGGCCGCCCTCCCGCCGGGATCCCCTGTTCCGGGGGGTGCCGGACCGCCCCCCTCCTCACCCCTGCCCTCAGCGCGGACCCCGTTGCCTCCTTGGGCTCCTCCCTGGCCCCTGCGTCAGCTGATCGCCGGCACTTGGGCTGCTTCCTTCCCTGCATGTCTCCCGTAAGGCCCCTTTGGCCCGCTGCCAGCGCCACCCCCTCGGTCAAGGCCACCGCCTTCTCACCTGAAAGTGCTAGTGGGCAGCCCCTTGGCATCGTCTCGCTCTAGGTTCATCCTGTCTCATAACTTATTTCTGCAGTACTGGGGGATTGTTCTCCAATGCAGCCGGCTCCCCTGTTCAAACCCTCCCGTGGCCTCCGATTTCTTTCCTGATAAATTCCATAAGATCTTACTATGCTGTACTGGGTCCTTTATGAGTTTGCCTTATTAATCTCTCCACCCTCATGTTTTAGCCCTTCTTCCCAAACCTAACGCCCACCAAAAAAGAAACCAAAACAACAACAAAAAAACTACCCACCATCATTTGCATACATTCTGTGCACAGCTCCAGTGATCAGCCTGCACTCCCACAGTCTCTCCATGCTTTTCTGCACCCCAGAGCTTAATGAAAGCTGCTCCTTCCTGGAATGCACCCCACATCCCTTCTCCCTCTGGTTAGCTCCCACCTAAATTCAGCTGACAGGGCATCTACTGCTGGGAGCCCTCGCCAAACACCGGGTTGGTTGATGTGCTCCTCTAAGGTTTGTTTGTCTGTCTTCCTGATCAACAGTAGGCTCTGAGGGCGGAGACAGCCTTATTGAGCCCTGTATCCCTTATCCCCACTCATATTTAAAGTGTAGTATATAGTGTAGTAGCTAGTAGTACAGACTGAGAAGCCAGACAGTCTGGATTTGCATCCACTGTTTAATAGCTGTGACCATGGTTTACTTAACTGCTCTCTGCCTCAATTTCCTTACTACAAAAATATAGGTAACAATAGGAGGTACCTTATAGGCTTGCTAGGAGAATCCAATGAGTTTTTAAGTGTTTGTAACAGTGCCTGGCACATGGTGAGCGATGTGATAGCCACTGCTACAATTATTATTATTATCATCATCACTATCACCATCTTCATCATCTCCAGCGTTGGGCAGGTCGTGAACAGCACACTCACAATGAGTTATTGCTGGATTGAATTGAGTAAATGTGAGGGTGTTTATTTTGGCCCTCCACCAACCTTTTATGCTTGCTTTGTAATTCCTGGCAATGTCCCAGGTAGGTGAGATCACGGAAAGTTACCCGGTGGGGCGTTGTGAACAGCATGTCCTCTGATTGGTTATCTTGGATAAGAAATGACGTAACAGCAGCTGTAAAGGAGAGGAGAACATCCTTGCTCAGATTACCTGAGGGCGAAGTTGCAGTAGAGTATGTTCTCTGTGGAAGGCCCACCATAGCCTAAAATGTCCAAAGGATCCCAGTTTACATAGTAATTTTTTTTTAATTTTTACTTTTTAAAAAAATTTTGTTATCATTAATCTACAATTACATGACGAGCATTATGTTTACTAGGCTCTCCCGTACCCCAAGTCCCCCTGACAAACCCCATTACAGTCACTGTCCATCAGCATAGTAAGGTGCTGTAGAATCACTACTTGTCTTCTCTGTGTTGCACAGCTGTCCCCTTTCCCCCGACATTATACATGCTAATGATAATATCCCCTTTCTTCTTCCCCGCCCTTATCCTTCCCTATCCTCCCATTCTCCCCAGTCCCTTTCCCTTTGGTAACTGTTAGTCCATTCTTGGGTTCTGTGATTCTGCTGCTGTTTTGTTCCTTCAGTTTTTCCTTTGTTCTTATACTCCACACATGAGTGAAATCATTTGGTATTTGTCTTTCTCCGCTTGACTTATTTCACTGAGCATAATACCCTCTAGCTCCATCCATGTTGTTGCAAATTATAGGATTTGTTTTCTTCTTATGGCTGAATAATATTCCATTGTCTATATGTAATACATCTTTATCCATTCATCTACTGATGGACACTTAGGTTGCTTCTATTTCATGGCTATTGTAAATAGTGTTGCGATAAACATAGGGGTGCATCTGTCTTTTCAAACTGGAGTGCTGCATTCTTAGGGTAAATTCCTAGAAGTGGAATTCCTGGGTCAAATGGTAAGTCTATTTTCAGCATTTTGAGGAACCTCCATACTGCTTTTCACAATGGTTGAACTAATTTGCATTCCCACCAGCAGTGTAGGAGGGCTCCCCTTTCTCCACAACCTCACCAACATTTGTTGTTGTTTGTCTTTTATATGGTAGCCTTCCTTACTGGTGTGAAGTGATATCTCATTGTGGTTTTAATTTGCATTTCTCTGATAACTAGCGATGTGGAGCATCTTTTCATGTGTCTGTTGGCCATCTGAATTTCTTCTTTGGAGAACTGTCTGTTCAGCTCCTCTGCCCATTTTTTAATTGGATTATTTGCTTTCTGTTTGTTGAGGTATATGAGCTCTTAATATATTTTGGATGTCAAGCCTTTATCGGATATGTCATTTATGAATATATTCTCCCATACTGTAGGGTACCTTTTTGTTCTATTGATGGTGTCCTTTGCTGTACAGAAGCTTTTCAGCTTGATATAGTCCCACTTGTTCATTTTTGCTTTTGTTTTTCTTGCCCGGGGAGATATGTTCATGAAGAAGTTGCTCATGTTTATGTCCAAGAGGTCTTTGCCTATGTTTTTTTCTGAGAGTTTTATGGTTTCATGACTTACATTCAGGCCTTTGATCCATTTTGAATTTACTTTTGTGTATGGGGTTAGACAGTGATCCAGTTTCATTCTCTTACATGTAGCTGTCCAGTTTTGCCAGCACCATCTGTTGAAGAGACTGTCATTTCCCCATTGTATGTCCATGGCTCCTTTATCATATATTAATTGGCCATATATGTTTGGATTAATGTCTGGAGTCTCTAATCTGTTTCACTGGTCTGTAGCTCTGTTCTTGTGCCAGTACCAAATTGTTTTGATTACTGTGGCTTTGTAGTAGAGCTTGAAGTTGGGGAGCGAGATCCCCCCTACTTTATTCTTCCTTCTCAGGTTTGCTTTGGCTATTCGGGGTCTTTGGTGGTTCTATATGAATTTTTGAACTATTTGTTCTAGTTCCTTGAAGAATGTTGTTGGTAATTTGATAGGGATTGCATCAAATCTATATATTGCTTTGGGCAGGGTGGCCATTTTGACGATATTAATTCTTCTCAGTCAGGAGCATGGGATGAGTTTCCATTTGTTAGTGTCCTCTTTAATTTCTCTTAAGAGTGTCTTAACAGTTTTTCACTTCTTTGGTTAGGTTTATTCCTAGGTATTTTATTCTGTTGCAATTATGAATGGAATTGTTTTCCTGATTTCTCTTTCTACTGGTTCATTGTTAGTATATAGGAAAGCCACAGATTTCTGTGCGTTAATTTTGTATCCTGCAACTTTCCTGTATTCCAATATCAGTTCTACTAGTTTTGGAGTGGAGTCTTTAGGGTTTTTTTATGTACAGTATCATGTCATCTGCAAATAGTGACCGCTTAGCTTCTTCTTTACCAATTTGGCTTCCTTGTATTTCTTTGTTTTGTCTAATTGCCGTAGCTAGGACCTCCAGTACTATGTTGAATAACAGCAGGGAGAGTGGGCATCCCTGTCTTGTTCCCGATCTCAGAGGAAAAGCATTCAGCTTCTCACTGTTCAGTATGATGTTGGCTGTGGGTTTATCATATATGGCCTTTATTATGCTGAGGTATTTGCCCTCTATATCCATTTTACTGTGAGTTTTTATCATGAATGGATGTTGAATTTTGTCGAATGCTTTTACAGCATCTATGGAGATGATCATGTGGTTTTTGTCTTTCTTTTTGTTGATGTGGTGGATGATGTTGATGGATTTTCAAATGTTGTACCATCCTTGCATCGCTGGGATGAATCCCACTTGGTCATGGTATATGATCCTTTTAATATATTTTTGAATTTGTTTTGCTAATATTTTATTGAGTATTTTTGCATCTATATTCATCAGGGATATTTGTCTGTAATTTTCTTTTTTGGTGGGGTCTTTGCCTGGTTTGGGTGTTAGGGTGATGTTGGCTTCACAGAATGAGTTTGGGAGTATTCCCGCCTCTTCTGTTTTTTGGAAAACTTTAAGGAGAATGGGTATTATATCTTTTCTGTAT